TAACCATCAAGACGCCTGCCATTTGATATAAATAAATACCATTTAACGAATAGTGTGTGATTCCGTTCAACTATTCTGTCTGGCATCTTTGCACAAAAAGTGTAACAATTATCAATTGTATCACTTGCCAACCACTGGCTCAATAAATCCAAAAATAGGAATCGCATCACAACTTAATCACTTAAATTGGCAAATTTGGAAGCAGACTTTCCACTTCTCGATTGAACAATGATGTAAAGCCGAATAATGAAAGAGCAGAAACGTAAAAACTTTCATTGGCCAGTCTCAACTGTGGTCAAACAAAATTGTTAATCTTAGAATTTTATATTTATTTATATCAAATGGCAGGCGTTTTGATAGTTATCATTTGCCCTTTAGTTGGCTTCGGGCTTCACAGAGAGGAGGAGGAGCATCAAAGTACAAAAAAGTCGAGCGGGGGGGGGGACAGAAGGGTGTTTCAAAAATGTAAAAGAGATAGATACAAAGATAGAAAAAAGGTGAGGTGAGTACTGTGAAAGTAGTTGAATATGACATGCAGTGGGGTCTTGATCTTAGAACTAAGATTCATTTATCTCTTCCCCTTCATCGGTGAATTCCACACAGAAAGCTATTCAATAGTTATTTCAAGTTTATTCTTAGTATGATATGTTAATCTAATTAAATTAACACTAGGCCCTTGCCCACATTCAATTAAAAAGGGAATTGAACTAAAACCCTCGATTTGATCCTATGAGATTAAATAAGGTCAGAAAGCCATATTAAGGACCTCATACGACCAAATTGAGGTCACAGATATATATAGCGAATCAAAACTTCCAAAGAAATTGGAAGAAATATGCTCAAAACAAGAGCATCAGATTTTTACGAGCTTTCCAACGGTAGAAGCTTAAGAAAACAGAATATGCAAAGAAATAATGAAGGCGTAAGTACTCTCAGAAACAAAAATAAATTCACGTTAGTTAAAATAGGAACAATAAACTTTACAGGTAAAAGGACTAACTTAAGAAATAAAACTTCCAAAAATACTCATTTATGGTTTATAGTTCGTAAATTAACGAGTGCAATTCAAAAGAATAGTGCTTTAGCAACTCACCACCCTAACTAAAAATGATAAATACAAGGAAACAAACAATTAACGAGTTAGAGGTGACCATGATCGTAGGACATTTAGACCACGATTAATCAAACCCTTATTCACATTGGAAGTAACCATATTGCAAAATAACCGACAAAGCAAAAAAACATGAAGAAAATATACAAATCGAAATATTCTTACCAACAGAATAGACACTGAGATCTGTAACCTTTGTAATTGTTGCAATTTGTGGGTGACTAGAGGCGAATTCTCCGCTTCTAATAAGAACTGAGACTTCTGCATTCGGTTCTATGGTTCCAGAGAGGACATTGCTCTTCTCAACTGTTACAAATCCCTGAAGATGATAAAAGCAAACATCCATAAGACAACTAATGTAAGCACCCTGGAAATATAAGATGGAAGATACCGACCTTCTTTTGCTGGAGTTGAACACGAATTCTATAATCTTGAGTGATAGATTCGATTTCAGCCTCACAGAAAGCTCCCCGGTATTTGGCACTAACAGCAGCCCCAACTGGAAGAAAAACGGGAGCTAATTTAGAATCATGACCAGGTCCAGTTTCGGAAGAGCTTAAAATCGATGAAGTAGGCGTTTCTGATCCAACACGCGAAGTCATTGCCGATTCTGCTGCACTGGGTAATGACATTAAATAACGTGAGACCTACAAAGGAGCGAAATACTGCAAATACTACAAAAAGTATTAACAAGAAATAAAAATGGCGATTAGTGGAGCTTAGCTCAGTTAGCTTAGGTGGGCATTAAAGTACCTTCCTAAAACTGTATTTGCGTTGGGCCATAATATTGGCTTAAGGAATGAAAGCAAAATATCATTAATCAGTTTACTTTTAAGAAGTTACATAATAAATATAAGAGTAACGATGAGAAAATTCATATGGAGAAATAAAATCGGGTTAATTAGGAAAACCATGAGCAAACCTTCAAAACCGCCTGTGCGTACAAGCGTATGGGCACACAGATATAAATTGACAATAGCGGCAAAACCAATTTATCAAGTCAAGAAATATTTCGAACATAAAATCAGATTTAAATAATATATTTTACAAAAATAAAATATTTCGTAACGATTAAACAATTTTTATAAGTTTTATTTCATTAATTTTGTTGTTTTATCGATTACAAGGTATATTTCGCGATTTGTCTCCTTACTAAATTTCATCTGAGTATTGCACGCGTGATGGCTGACGAAAGTGCGGTATGTGACTTTATATATATGAGATCATAAATATATTAACAGTTCGCTTGTAGTTCCTTGGTTGAATAATCTTTGTTTTCTATAATTTTACTGGTATTCCTTATCTTCACCTTGTTTCTTATGCATATTTTTTACTTGACAAATTCCTTACTTATCTTAGCATTTAGCTGTTTATGCACACGAAGTATTCGGATTATCATAGGAAAATGTTTAAAATGTGTTTTGCTAACATGAAATAGTATTTCACTAAGCCTGAATGGTCCTTTAACCTACCGAAATTAGCTTAATCTAGGCAAATTTAACTATTTAATCAAACAAATATTTCTCTCTTCTTCTATTGTTTTATTAATTAGAAATCAAGCACATTCGCTAATATATTCTTGAATTGTTTCATCCTGTTAGTTGCTATTTTACTCATCTATTTTGTAACTAAGCCAATATGCATATTATTAGCTTCTTTTCTTTCTTTGCTATGATTAATCTATCATTATAACAATGATTATGAAAAACTCACAAATTTGCACGTGATTTTGCTAACTGCGCATAAATTTGTTTATTCGTTTGTAGTGAGGAACATTATTCATAGTTTTGTCGGTTTATAGTCTGTAGCTTTTTTGGAAGTGCTATCTTCATTCAATTTTTTTCTGCCGTTTGAAATGCATTTAATAAGGCTTCTGTTTCGTTGATGGTCTTGTCGATTTTGGCAATCGTTTTTTTTTCAGTGTTTTTTATAGTTTCGCTTTTCTCATTATCTTGAATATAGCATAACTTTATTGATTTAGTCACAAACGATCTGCACAGCTTTAGCTCTTTATGTTGTCCTTATATGGTGATTACGATCCTAGCTATTATCATGATGTTCAATAGTACCTTGTTAACTAGAATGCATATTCTTTATTACATCTATCTAAACCGTTTAGGTTACATTGTGCTCCCCTTATGCCGTAGTCTATAAAAAAATTACCAAATTGGAGGGAAGACGTCTGCACATTAAGATAAAATTTCTATTTAGTAGTGGCTTTCCGGGTCTGTGATCTCATTTATTTATTTTTTACTTTGAATGCAGACCATTATATTGAATATGGCTGTCAATGGAAATGCCCGTTAGTGGCATCTAAGTAAGTATATCCTAGTCCTTTTGACTGGAGGCCGAAAAAAATTGCCTTTCTATGTAATGTGGTATAGATCCAGCCGCGAGGAGTAGTATGATAGATCCTCTCGACTTCTCACCCTCGTTAATCAGAGTTGCTGTTGGTTCAAAACTTGTAGAAAGTATTTTTTCTCTTTGGTTTGACTAATTACATCAGTCAATACTTTTTATAATGTTCGCATAACTTCCTCTCTACGGTAAATGCGCTGCTTATTCACCCATTAAAATTTTAATTGTTGCGTAATATGACAAATGTCTGTTAACCACGTTTCAGCCCCCAATAAATTTTGGCAAGAAGAAAAAGAAGCCGAAGACCGCTTTAGTTGTTGAAGAAACCGCTGATTCTGTCGCTGCCAAGCCTACTCCAGAAGTAGAAAAATTACCCGAGGACTTTAACGATACCGCTTTCTTCGGCCAAAAGCGCAAAAAGAAGCCAATCTTAGATGTCCTCCAAACAGAGAGTGAAGCCGCAGTTTCTGCTGCTCGTGAGGAATTGCAGTCTTTTACACTAAATGATGGTGATGGTTCTACTGCTGCTGGTGGTGGTGGTGAGGCCGAATCCGCTCCGGCTCTCCTCTATACCTACGAGGAGCTTTTGCACAGAATTTTCGACCAACTCATTGCCAATAATCCCGAACTGGCAACTGATGCTCCGAAGAAGCTCAAAATGCCGCCACCTCTCATGGCTCGTGTTGGCACCAAAAAGACCCAATTTACCAATTTTACTATTATCTGCAAGTCATTCAATCGTGATCCCGCTCATCTCTCTGCTTTCTTCTTTGCCGAGTTGGGAACCACCGGTTCTATTGATTCTAATGGAGCTCTAATTATTCGTGGAAAGTACATGTCGAAGCATATTGAACCTCTCCTGCAAAGTTATGCTCGTACGTTTTCTGCTGGATATCGCCTCTTTTTTTTCGTTCCTTTTTGGCCGCCATTGAATGTAGACCTGCAAAGTGCATTAGGAACAATCGTCAAGGAAGTAGAACGGGAGGGGGACAAAGGTGCCGGGTGGGTGGGGGGGGGGATGGTATATCGTTATTTACTAAGAGGCAGTTAGATGGTAGACACTTTAAGATGTGATTCGTTGATGGAAGCTGAGGCCGTCATTCAAGAGTCCGATTTTACGTGGGCGTAGTTAATAGTGTGTTCTGCTATTAGCAAATCTCAAAAGGGAATGTTCCTAAGGGGCATATAATGAATGTGCCGATGTCTACTTGATGATACGTTTTTGAATATTTATATACCTATTCCTGGGGCTAATGATAAATTTCATAAAGCCTGCCACTTGAAATACTGATAATAATATACCAATTCCAGTTAAAATGGACAATATAAGAACGGGCTATTATGGTAGCGGCTCTTTACTATTTCCATTCCACTTTGACCATTTTTCTGCTAACAAAATGAATTCCCTAATTTACACTCAATATATTTGTCATGTTTTTTTGTGTTACAGGACATTATGTGAAGTGCAGTACCTGCGGTTCGCATGACACCTACCTATCTAAGGACGCTCGTCTTCTCTTCCTGATCTGCAGGAAATGCAGTTCTAAGGTGACTGTGAAAAACGTCACTTCAGGTTTCCAGGCTGTTACCGACAAACGTGCGGCTATTCGTGCCAAGGCCCAATAATAACAGGTGGACATCACCCATCATTATTATTGAAATGTTGTGTGGTGAGAGATATTTGGGGAATACAATTTGTGTACTTTGCTCTAATGAAAAAGAAACATCTCTTTCCCTTGCTTTTATTCGTGTTTACTTAAATAATATTAGTACTATGTTTTGGCACCTTGGCCATGTATGGACCTATCGACAGTGCATTCAATCATTGGTCACCCAATAGTATTGTATTGAATTAAATGAACGTATTCAATGCTCTAAATGTTTATTTATTTCAAATGGAAGGCGTTTTGATAGCCATCATTCGCCATTTAGCTGACTTCGGGCTTCACAGAGGGAAGGTTCGTCAAAGTAGATGAAAGTCAAGGAGTGGGAACAGAAGAGCGATTCACAGATGTAAAAGAGGCAGACAGACACAAAGTTAGAGAAAAAGGTACGATGAGTACTGTGAAAGGGGCCGAATATGACAAGCAGTCGGGTGATGGTAGTTTGAAGTGAAAAGTCAACTGCCAGTTAATAGACTTTTTTGCCGTATGAGTATACGTTGCCCAGTGTGCACCACGTGGAGGTAAGTCTATCGCACACCCCATGCTGTAAATACTAAAGGCTTAATGCGCATGGGTGCAGATTTTTACCGATCCTGCAAAATTGGTCTCCTAATGGTAAAATTTGGATTAGTTAAGGAATTCTAATTGCACTAAAATCTCATCTCCAGATTTATTGGACGGTATGGTGGGGGAATACGCTTGTTTTTAGGGTAGCTGCGATCAAAGTTACGCATTTTAGTCTGACGACTTAGGAAGTGGGGTACGCATAGATCTTTATAAAGC